CTCTGTCATAGCTCCCCTGAGCAGCGGCTGACTGACATTTGCAGATCGAACACAGGACATCTTCATGTAGGGTGCCTATCAAGGAGACTCTTCATGCATTGGCTTTATTCTGTGTTTTTTGTTTTGTTTTGTTTTTTGTTTTGTTTTTGAGTTGGAGTCTCTATCGCCCTGACTGGAGTGCAGTGGCCGCTCCTGGCCACCACAGCCTTGACCTGCTGGGCTCCGGTGATCCTTCCGCCTCAGCCTTCCAAGTAGCTGGAACTACAGGCGTGCGCTACCACACCCGGCTAATTTTTGATTTATTGTAGAGATGAGGTTTCACCAAGTTGCGTAGGTGGGTCTCAAACCCGCGGGCTCAGGCAATCCACTCACCTCAGCATCCCAAAGGTGCGGGATTACAGGCTGAACCACCAAGCCGGCTGGCTTTATTCTTTGTTTCATAGTCTCACAGTAAATTTCCTGAATATTCTTTTTGTCTAGCTAACAAAACCCTTTCAAAATGTAAAAGATAGGAAAAGATGGAGTGAAAATAGCACACGCATTTTTAAAAAGTGCCTTTCTTACTGTTAAGAAGTCTTAGCTATTGAAGGAGACCAGACTAATAATGGCAGAAAACAGCTTCATCAAAGCAAACCCAGGTACCCTGCAGAGTCGAGGCTATCCCAGAGAGGTGGCCTCTGTGATTGCTGTTCCCTGCACTGAGGTCTCTGGCATTTACTCATCCCTGGAAAGAAAAATCTGCATTCCCTTCTGAGTCCCACACTGAGATCCATCCTCACAGAGCAGAAAAGGCAAGGGAGGCACACCGTGCCTCTGAAAATAAATGTCTCAGAGATTGATGGCTTGATGATCTCTTTGGAGATTATATCAAAAATTATTGATTGTGCTACTAAGTCGTAGAAAATAGGCTCTGAGGTTGGGAACTAAGTGCTTTCTTTAAAATAATCCAGAAGCAGTTGAATAAATCAATGTGCAGGGCATCTAAAACACTGTAACTATCATATTGACTTCACAAATAGCTTGGCTTCAGTGTGGAAAAAGTAATATTATATTTAAAAATTTGAAGCAGTTGTCTTAGCATGCTTTAAAAAAGAATAAATTTTTTTCTTGTATCTACTTTGCAAAATTTTATAGAATTCCTAGTTTCTAGCAATCATTTATTTCTCATCAATAAGAAAACTGTGAGACTTTTAAAAATAATTTGTGCCAGCTGGGTATAGTGGCTCACGCCTGTAATCCCAGCACTTTGAGAAGCTGAGGCAAGAGGATTGCCTGAGCCTAGGGGTTCGAGACCAACCTGGGAAACATGGCAAAACCTCATGTCTACAATAAATAAAATAATACCTGGGGGTGGTGGCACATGCCTGAAGTTCCAGCTACTTGGAAGATTGAGTGGAAGGATAGCCTGAGCTCCGTAAGTCAAGGCTGCTGTGGCTGTTGAGTGTGCCACTGCACTCTAGCCTGGGTAAAACAGTGAGTCTCCAATTTAACAAAAAAGTAAAATTACTTGTGTCAGATAGGGTTTTATTTGCAAAAATAAAGATGCAAAGGGCTTATGAGATATTTTTATTTTCAACAACTGAAGCTGACAAGCTTAGTCCTGCTCAATTTTTTGGAGTTAAATCTAAATTTTACTACACCATTCTACTACTCCATTTAAGCTTGTTTTGAAGTATTTTCTATTTACATTTAAAACATTTGATTCTGGCTTATAAGAAAATTCCAGCAGTGTATCTTGCTGAACGAGAACTCAGTATGCAAAAGTTCCAATTTTTCAGTAGTTAAATTGTTAAAATGATGTTGTTTCGTATCATGACAGCATTCTTTGCCTTGAAGGACTCACAGGAAGATCTGTAAGCATAACTACCACCGTAGGCGCTTAAATGTTTACTTGGAAAGGGTTAACTACTTAGAGGAGAGAGTAGCACCAGGGATAATTGTAAGGCGTCAGAAGACAAAGACAACTCCAAAATGGTCCTAAACCACAACTCTGAAACTGTTATATATCTCAGAAAATTCAATTTGGTATTCACTCTGAACCTGGGAGACTTGAGACCTGGTAATAGTGGAGTCTCTTCTTTATAGGCCTCATTCTCCTCATATGTAAACTCAGAAGACTGGACTGGGTGATCTTGGAGGCTCCTTTAAACATCTGTAGCTTCTTGATTTGATTTCCTTAAGTAAGACTTGCTTATTTTGAGTGCTTTGGAAACTGAGTCTGTCAAAAGCTTTTAGTCCTCGAGTTGCATCTGGATCTTAATGTTCTGTTCAAAAAGCCAGTACTGTCTGCTTCCTGTGTGGAAGGTGCTGTGCTAGATGCTGGAAGAGAATTATGCTCAGATGCAGGCCCTCCATCAGATTTCCTTCAGTGGGGTTAGGGTAGGGGTGGAGACAGACTAAGAAAAGCTCAACTGTACTGATCTTATCACTGGGGAGCGTTTCCTCTCTGGTGACCATGGAGTCTAGGCTCCTTGGGCAACATATCAGCAAAACAACTCTTATAAGTTGTCTCCTCGGCACAGAAGTGGGAATTGAGGCAGAAACCGCCTTTGTGTTTCCTTGGTGCATTCTGGAGTGGTCCCAGTCATTCTCTTTTAGAGAGTGGACATGGCCTTTGTGGTCCTTACAAGAGCCTTGTCTACCATCACGTGTATCATTTTCTTAACAAAGTTAACTTTGAATGGCTGGCAGTCCAATGGTGTTTTCCTAGGACCCTGCTGAACAGGATGGCCAGCCACCAACTGACCCTGTCCCAACCCTGGTTACCTGAACAAGTGTCCACATTCTGCCTGTTTCACATACTTAGCACATGAAGCATTTCCAAAGGACAGTCAGAGGAATTGCTTGTGAAATTAACTTTTTTAGTATAAAGCTATCTATTGTTTCTGCTTTTCTTTTTTCCTATTTTGCCTATGAAATTCCTATATTAAACTTGACTTTTTCTACCTACTACTCAGTGTTTTCTAGACACTTTGGCAGATGATAGCAGCAAGGTATATTTCATACCCAGTTGGAATTAAGCATATACATGCCAGGGGTTCATTTGTAAGGCTTAGCAGGAAGAAAGTGGGAAAGGCATGTGGGCTGTGGAGAGACCCTGAGTTCTGACCTAGACTCTGCTACTTGGAAAATGAGATTTGATGTTCTCATTTACAAAAGGGTTATAATAATAGTCTATGGCTTGCCAACTTTGGATATGAAAGGAATTTATAGACTATAAGAATAATTTTAATGTTTAAAGATGTTTAATTTCTATAGCAGATTGTTTTTAGCTTGGAGTCAGTAATGAGAGCTAGTTTAAAACCAGAAAAGTGATAGCTAAAAAGACATGCTGGATAGGTTTTATGGTTTTAAAAAAATAAATGATACATGTTGAATAAGTTTGACAGAATTAAATTATGTCATATGTACTTCTAAGAGCCTTAATGATTTCATTCTTGCTTGCAAATAATTTAGAGAGAATGATATAAAAAGTATGGGTTTTGAAGTAAGAGAGATCTTAGTCTGAGATCCTGCTTTGCTTCTTACCATCTGGGGGGCATTGCTTGGGTCAATGTCCCCACCAAATAGGTTAACTTCTTTGGCTCCCAGTTTTCTAATATGTAGTTGGAATGAAACGATACCTTTTATTTAGAATTGTTGTGAAGATTACATATAACAAAGTGAAAACATGATGACACAGTGCCTAAGGCATCGCATGCCTGCAAAATAATTAATTCCCCATCCCCTCTCATCTCCACATCATAAAGGAGGAAAAGACAGAGAATGGATACTTGCAGAGTATGCCTTAGGGGAAGAACTCATATTTGGGGCTCTAAAAATCTGAGCCATTGGGTATGGGTAGACTTACTGTTCCTTGTCAAAAATCTCCCTTATCCCCTCTGCCTTAAAGAGGACTGATTTTACTGGTTAAAATAGAAAAATCTTTCTATCTTTTATTCTATGTAATTATAAAATTGTAGAAACTGTTGAAATTTAATAGTCATTGAAGAAAATAATTGGAAATAACTCTTGCAATGTCTTAGATGTCTCTTGCAAGAAATGCCTCCTAACTCCCTTGTCCGAATAAGAAAGCCCACTGACGGATCTCACTAGGTCATGCAGCCCACTGAGGACTGCTCTCTCTGCTTTGTTATATGGTGCTGTGTTCATTCTCGTAACATTGGATTATACATAAATTCTGATCAGTTTCAAAGTAAGCACAACAAATGACAATAATTCCTTGAAGCATTTTTTATCATTACAAAAGTAATTATATAACTATTGATGAGCACCATTCATTGAAGAAAAATTAGAAAATGAAAATATAACTTTAAAATCCACAACACAGTTAATCCTGTTAAAACATAAAGATAGATACAGTCATGCATGTAGATGTTTAATACTAGTAGACTCATGCCACGCGTACTGCTTCATGGTCTTTGTAGCGTTACATCTTACTGTATCTGAAGTTATACATCTTTTATGAACTATTTTTAGTGACTGCATAGTATTTTATTTTACAAATGCACCATCAATTATTTGATTCTTTATTAATAGACACGTAGCATCATTTCATGTAGCAAACACTTGTCTAAATATTTTCCCCCTGATTACCCAGATATTACCCAGAAGGGAATTCTAAGTCAAAGGTCAATGCACTGAAAGCCTCCAATATGTATTTCTAAATTGACCTTCAATAAGTAAGAAATTTTGTGCCAATGAACAATCCCTTCAGCAATGTAAAAGTGCCATTATAAAAAAAGATGTCATTTGAAAAAAATCAAACAAAGTAGGGTTAAATCCCAATAATTTTGGATTTTTAAAATTATCTATTAGTGATGAGGCTTCTAATTTTTTCTTGTATTTATGTTTTAGTAAAAATATTTTATTATAATAATGTATGAAAAAACCCCTATTTCACAATAGTTATTTTCTACTCCTTCTCCCACTCTCTTCTAGGATGGTTAATTTGTCTTTTCTCTCTCTTTTCTTCCCCTCCAGGATGAAAGTATGATGTCATGGGTATAATTATGGGACACTGTGTGGGCTTACGGCCTCCTCCTTCTTGCCTCATCCTCCTACTGCTCAAGCTTCTGGCCACTGTCTCCCAGGGGCTGCCGGGGACTGGGCCTCTGGGCTTCCACTTCACACATCCCATGTATAATGCCACCGTGTATGAGAACTCAGCAGCAAGGACCTACGTCAACAGCCAGAGTAGAATGGGCATCACCTTGATAGATCTTTCCTGGGATATCAAATACAGAATAGTGTCCGGAGACGAGGAAGGCTTTTTCAAAGCAGAGGAAGTCATCATTGCAGATTTCTGTTTTCTCAGAATAAGAACTAAAGGTGGCAATTCTGCCATATTGAATAGGGAGATTCAGGACAATTATTTATTGATAGTAAAAGGTTCTGTTAGAGGAGAGGATTTGGAAGCATGGACCAAAGTTAATATACAGGTTTTAGATATGAATGACCTGAGACCTCTGTTTTCACCCACAACATACTCTGTTACAATAGCAGAAAGCACACCTTTAAGGACTAGTGTCGCACAGGTGACAGCAACAGATGCAGATATTGGTTCCAATGGAGAATTCTACTACTACTTTAAGAGCAAAGTTGATCTTTTTTCAGTTCATCCCACAAGTGGTGTCATTTCTTTAAGTGGACGATTAAATTATGATGAAAAGAATAGATATGATCTGGAAATTTTGGCTGTGGACCGAGGAATGAAACTTTATGGAAACAACGGAGTGAGCAGTACTGCAAAGCTTTATGTTCACATTGAACGTATAAATGAGCATGCCCCAACAATTCATGTAGTCACTCATGTTCCTTTCTCATTGGACAAAGAGCCAACATATGCAGTGGTGACAGTCGATGACCTGGATGAGGGGGCCAATGGAGAAATTGAATCTGTTTCCATCATAGCTGGGGATCCTTTCGATCAGTTCTTCTTGGCTAAGGAAGGAAAGTGGTTGAACGAGTACAGGATTAAGGAGAGGAGGCAGATTGACTGGGGCAGCTTTTCCTATGGCTACAATCTTACTCTTCAAGCGAAAGACAAGGGAGCTCCTCAAAAGTTTTCAGCATTAAAAATGGTCCACATTGTCAACCCCAGAAGAGACACAGTCCCAGTTAGATTTGAAAAAGAAGTGTACGATGTGAGCATGAGCGAGTTTTCCCCTCCTGGTGTTGTGGTTGCTATAGTAAAGTTAAGCCCCGAACCGCTAGACGTGGAATACAAATTGTCCCCAGGTGAGGATGCAGTGTACTTTAAAATTAATCCTCGGTCAGGGTTGATTGTTACTGCCCAGTCACTGAATACTGTCAAAAAGGAGGTTTATAAACTGGAGGTGACAAACAAGGAAGGAGACTTAAAATCACAAGTCACAGTCGGCATAGAAGATGCAAATGACCACACCCCTGAGTTCCAGCAGCTGCTGTATGATGCTTACGTGAATGAAAGTGTCCCAGTGGGAGCCAGTGTTCTGACGGTGTCAGCTTCTGATAAGGATAAAGGAGAAAATGGATACATCACCTATAGTATCACCAGCCTGAATTTGTTACCATTTGCCATTAACCAGTTTACAGGTGTTATTAGCACAACTGAAGAATTAGATTTTGAGTCCTCTCCAGAGACTTACAGATTCATCGTTAGAGCCTCTGACTGGGGTTCACCCTACCGCCACGAGAGTGAAGTAAATGTGACTATTCGAATAGGAAATGTCAATGACAACAGCCCTCTCTTTGAAAAAGTGGCTTGCCAGGGAGTTATTTCTTATGACTTTCCAGTCGGTGGTCACATCACAGCTGTCTCAGCGATCGATGTTGATGAACTTGAACTTGTAAAGTATAAAATCATTTCAGGAAATGAACTTGGCTTTTTTTATTTAAACCCAGATTCTGGTGTTTTACAGCTTAAAAAGTCCCTGATGAATTCTGGCATTAAAAATGGTAATTTTGCCCTCAGAATTACAGCAACTGATGGAGAGAATCTTGCAGACCCCATGTCTATTAACATTTCAGTTCTCCATGGGAAGGTGTCTTCAAAGAGCTTCAGTTGCCGAGAAACTCGTGTGGCTCAAAAGCTGGCAGAGAAACTACTCATTAAGGCAAAAGCAAATGGGAAACTGAATCTGGAAGATGGCTTTCTTGACTTTTATTCAGTTAATAGGCAGGGACCACATTTTGACAAGTCTTTTCCTTCTGATGTGGCTGTAAAGGAAGATCTGCCAGTTGGTGCTAACATCCTGAAGATTAAAGCCTATGATGCCGACTCTGGCTTCAATGGAAAGGTGCTATTTACAATATCTGATGGAAATACGGACAGTTGCTTTAATATTGATATGGAGACTGGGCAACTTAAGGTCCTTATGCCCATGGATCGTGAACACACAGACCTCTATATCCTTAATATCACCATCTACGACTTAGGTAATCCACAGAAATCTTCATGGAGGTTGCTGACCATCAATGTGGAGGATGCTAATGACAATAACCCTGTTTTTCTTAAAGACAGTTACTCAGTTAACGTTCTTGAAAGTTCAAGCATTGGTACTGAGATTATTCAAGTGGAAGCCAGAGACAAAGACTTGGGTTCTAATGGTGAAGTGACTTACTCGGTCTTAACAGATACACAGCAGTTTGCCATCAATAGCTCAACTGGAATTGTTTATGTAGCTGACCAATTAGACCGGGAATCCAAAGCAAACTACTCTTTGAAAATAGAAGCCAGGGACAAGGCAGAAAGTGGTCAGCAGCTATTTTCAGTTGTCACTCTTAAAGTTTTCTTAGATGATGTCAATGACTGCTCCCCAGCTTTCATTCCCAGTAGCTATAGTGTGAAGGTTCTTGAAGATCTCCCCGTTGGCACTGTCATTGCTTGGCTGGAGACTCATGATCCAGATCTTGGACTGGGTGGTCAAGTGCGCTATTCTTTGGTCAATGACTATAATGGAAGATTTGAAATAGATAAAGCAAGTGGTGCCATTCGCTTGAGTAAAGAGCTTGACTACGAAAAGCAACAGTTCTATAACCTCACTGTTCGGGCCAAAGACAAAGGGCGGCCTGTCTCGCTGTCATCTGTGTCCTTTGTTGAGGTGGAAGTGGTGGATGTCAATGAGAATCTCCACACCCCCTATTTCCCAGACTTTGCGGTTGTTGGATCTGTAAAGGAAAACTCACGCATCGGAACAAGTGTGCTTCAGGTGACCGCCCGAGATGAAGACTCTGGGAGAGATGGAGAGATCCAGTACTCTATCAGGGATGGCAGTGGTCTCGGAAGGTTCAGCATAGATGACGAGAGTGGTAAGTTTAACAACTTGTGCCAGATGAGTTGTTTAACCTCTCTCAAATCATCAGCATTGAGAAAGTAAAGGGATTTTAGGGCACTAAAATAGATTGACAAATGAAGTTGCATTGGGTGCAGAGATGATGCAAGTAATACTCTGTTTTTTGAGAAGATCTGTTTATACAGTAAGAGCCATGGTTTCCAGTGGGGGGCTCATTTTGTTTTGTTTTGCTTTTTCTTCCTCAGCACTGCGGCTACCAGGTCATCTTTTGATAAGCATAAGTGATTCTCACTTCTGTTGATTGTACTCCTGACCCTCACTAAATGAAAAGCCTGATAAAGTAAATTACATTTGAATTGGCTTTAAATTAGAAGTGTGAAATGGGCCTTTCAAATGGATCTTATATAGGAATCTTTCCCTTTATAGTAGGACCTTGCTGATGTGATATTGCATGAAATGCTTGGTCTTACATATTTTACGGGTGCACCTGGGCCTTGAATGATGGGCATTTTCATTGTATAAGCTCTATTAATATGAGGAAGTGTGCTTCTGCAACTGTTTTTACAATAGAAGTGAGGAGGCATGCTGTGCATTTTATTTATAAAAAAAGATTTTAAACTTTTATTTGTAAGTATTGACTTTTTTATAGAACATTTGGGACGAAATTGTCTTAATATTTTCATAGCCTCTGATCTACTTATTTATTCTCAATCATAGGTTCATATGCATATTTTTGGATACTTGTTATTGTCATGATTTGTATTTAGATGTACATGTGCCTGGACACATGCATGTTTGTGTGTGTCTGTGTGTGTTCGTGTGTGTGTGTTCCTTTACTAGCACTGTTCATTTTTCTGTCTTTAGATTGAAGACATCTCAAAAGAGGGGCTATGCCTTCTTTATTTTGTATAAAGGGTAATATCAGTACTTTACAGTGTTCAGAGCACATTTATATACATTACATAATTTCCTACAACACTCATAGAGTGCTTTTTCCCTGTCGTAGACAACTCAGCCTGCTATAACAAAATTCCAGGGACTGGATGGCTTAAACAACAGACATATATGTATCATAGCTCTGAAAGCTGGAAGGTCAAGATCACAGTGTTAGCATGGTCGATGTGAAGGACCTTCTTCTGAGCTTCGAAACTGCCAACTTCGTTTTGTGTCCTCAAGTAGTAGAGAGCTTTGGCTTCTTTCTCTTCTTATAAAGGCACTAATCCCATCATGAAGGCTTTGCCTTCATGACCTCATCTGAGCCTAATTACCTCCCAAAGGCTGTATTTCCTAATGTCATCACATTGGGGAGTAGGGCTTCAGCATATGGTTGCAGGGATGACACAAACATTCAGTCCAGAGCAGTTCTGGTGATGATGGTAACTAGAAGAGGAGGTAGGAAGGTATCACTGTAGAGATTCTAACTGTACATTCATAGTACTAGAAAAATAATTTGAGAAACTATATTAAATATTGGATAGGAAAAAAACTGTGTGGTACCCTCTCAAATTTAAACTGTAATTTTTGTATTCATAGGCTTTAATTATGGCCAGTGTAATTATAAAATTGGTTCCCATGGCCAGGAAAGAAAAAGTCAAGTCAGGAAAATTCAGCCCTGATTTAGTCACATACTGTATTTTATTATATATCCCTTGTAATTTGGGTGGACTATATTCCTCCCTTTGAAGTACAGCATGAGAAAGGGAATTAGCACTTACTTTGTGCCTACTCCATGCTAATACTTTACTACTACTACTAATGACTTTATTGAGTACTTATGTTATACAAGATACTGTCCAAAGAGTTTTATAATTGGAGATTATTTAATTTTTTCAGCAGCCCCATGAAGTAGGATTAATAATGATCAGTTCATGAATGAGATTCAGTAAAGACTTAAAACTTGGAGCCTAGTTGCAAACTTAGCTCTGCATAATTGCACTATACTATGCTCTTTCCCATCTAAAAATAAATGCACATTTCTTTGAAAATTCTCGAGTACACTTAACATTTGGTGTTGATCTAAAACCTATAAGGCAATAAACAGGGTTCAGAGTCCTCTTAACCCTGGATGCATTGACCGATGGCACAGGTCATTAATTACCCTGCCTGTTTTCTTTATTTCTACTTTATATCTTTTTGAGTTGGAGTCTCACTCCATCACCCAGGCTGAAGTGCAGTGGCATGCTCATGACCACCCCAGCATCAACCTGCTGGGCTCGTGATCCTTCCGCCTCAGCCTTCCAAGTAGCTGGAACTACAGGCGCAGCTACCTTGCCTGGCTAATTTTTTTTTTTTTTT